AAGTGTTGCCTAATGGTAAATCCCCCCCCGCTCTGAACTAAAGGTGGTTTCTGATTTACAGGCGTTTGAACTCAGTCAAATGACCTTGCAACATTTTTTACAGGCTCATATGATGAAGCATCATCACCATAACTTACCTTCATTTCATCCAAAGTCTCCAGTTGTCCTTTCTAATAGAAACTCAGACTTGGCTCAGTTCAAACAGCTGTTAATCAGAAACAACATTTAGTTCAAGGCTGTAATTTACCACTTAATCTATAGAGATTTAAATCATTGTATATGCTAAATTTCAGCGAGATCAAACCAAAGGAAGTGGGTCAGGGGCTTTACATATTGAACGGCCCTTGTAATTATGCAATCATACCAATAATGCTTACAAATAATGCAATACCATCTGACCGTTTGGACAGAGACTGAATTCATCAGTCTTTCCTTCCTGCTGATTGGATCCCATCACAGGCAGTGAGCTCTGATTGGTCCGTCCTTATAGCCTGCCCTGTCCAATTACCCTGCTGCGTTCAAGTTTTATGTAATTGGGCTGCCTGCTCTCTTCTCACTCTTTTTTGCAGCAAGAGGAGCACGGAGGTCTGCAGCAGGGTAAGGGGCCATGCTGTTCTTCACTATCAGGCTATTTCTGCAGGAAATCAATGCAGTCTGCAGCCAAACATCCAGACTGTTGCAGAAACTCAGCCTTAGCAAACATCTAAGAATCAGAATCAGTTTGATTACTTTACTAAGTCTGTTGGTTGGGGGGGTGCATTTCTGTCGGATAAGTTGTTAAACTTTAATTTAAAGGTTGTTAATGTGAACTTTGGTCCTGTGGAGTATTTTTCAGTCCCTGATTGGCTGGAAGCAGAGGCATGAAGTTAACAGTGGGATCTGATTGGTTTAAGAGGCTGGCAGGAGACCAGGCCCCGCCCCCTCTGACTGCTCTGCAGTCATGAAGTGCAGAGCACCGACTTGGACTGCTGCTTTTCTGTCTGTTTGTTATTGAAAACATTTAAAATAATGGAAATGTGAATCAGATGCGAACTGCTGATCCAGAGAGGCTGAATCACTCAGACAGAAGATTCACTCAGTCTCAGTTATTCCTCCTCAGCAGCTTCCATCACTTATTCTTTATTAAATCATAAAACAGATCAGAATCAATTTATTTTGCTTTATGTCCATGAAGCTGGAAGCATAACTGAACCCAGAATCTGGACATTCCTGGTTTCATAGACAAAAGATAAATGGCTTCCCTGCTCAGATGTTCCGATGCGTTCTAGATTAGGCAGCAAGTGGTACTTTCACCAGAACCGATGGTTCTGGTCGGGTCACTATGGTGTCACAGAGTGAGACACCATCAGTGTTCCTGGAGCCTTTTGGGGATGTTGGTGCTGCTGAACAGGAAGTTACTGAAGTTTCTCCCAGATGCCATTTTTTCCCAGGATTTTTCTATGATTTATTCGGTTGGAAGAAACAGTTTCTTCCAGTTTCTTCCACTTGTGCAGAAGAAACCAGTTTCGTCCAGAAAAACCCTGCTGGAGGTCAAGATAAAGAGTCCCTGTACTCCTAACACTCCAGACTTCCAGGATAAATGTTTATCCTGCTAATCTGAAACTTAGCTTTAATATTCTGCTAATTTAAAAATATTTGCTTCATTCAAACAGAAAAGTATTAAAAAGGTATCGCTAAGTAGCGGCTTGGTTCTTCACTGCCTGAAGTCTTCCTTTTGGCTGGGTTTTCTCCTTGCAGAAGCGTAGCGGCTGCCATGAAATCTAGGATCACTTTCTTTGTTATCTTCCCACTGTGGATCAGCTGACTGCCTTTACATCACGACACAAAGCAGTCAACCAGTTCTCTGCAGATCTGACCAGATCTGACTGACAGCTTCCAGACTGAACATAGAAGCTGCCTTCCTCAATAGAAACCTGTCCCAATTTCAGCCTCTTATATTAACTTACATTAAAGATGTAAAACCGTCACATTATGTTAAAGAACAGGTAGATAAGACTACAGCTGCACAAAAACAATTCAGTTTATTTCTATAGCACCAATTCACAACACAACTCATCCCAAGGCTCTTTACAGAGACAATTCCACCTGGTTGAGTGGTGGCCTAGTGGTTAGAGCAGTTCCTTGTGCTCTGAAAAGGTTGCAAGTACCTGGTTCAACCCCCACAGCCTCCACTCTGCTCCCCAGGCACCGCACAGGTATTCACACACTCCGCTTTGTTTATAAAAAAAATATAACAGTGGATGTCTGGGGGACAGTGATTCGCCTACATGTTATGAAGTATTTGTACTTTGTTACTTAACACCTCTGCATTTTGAATTGAAAAAATCTTGCTGGATGGGAAGAGAAACGTCTTCAAACTTGGAAACAAAGTCCAGTGGATTGATTTTGTACTTTTTTGGAATGACTCTGACCTGGATGACTGAGAATCTTCACCAGCAGATTATCAAAACCTGATTTGACAGGTTGCTAGCAAAAAATGGTAATCCACTAAATGGAAAAAAATATTTAGCAATTAGCTCCTAGCTGAGTAGCAAACAGGTGTTGCTTTGGTTGGATGGCGTTTCTAAGGTCAGGAAGAGACCGAGTACACAGCCCTGAGGTTCACTCACACTTTTATTCAACAAAACACATCTGATAACGGTCAGAGCTTCTCAACTAAAATGATCTTTTTTACAAGAACACACAATTATGAGGCTAGTCATGGTAATCCCACAAATATGTTAATTCTGAGGCTGCACATCGTTAAGGTTGGTTAGTTTGACTTCACCTCATTGTCTAGAGGGATTGTTCTTAACAATACATGCTGAATGTGGATAACAAAGAAGCGTCTGGACTCTTTTTTTAGTAGGATGATTTAATAGATGGAAAATGTATTTACTTCATGTCGTAAACCGCTGTGTTTCCAAGAGGACATGGAAATTTGACCTTTGACCTTTCTCTAAAACCTTAGCAAAAGGACAAAAAAACTTCCCTTGTTTGTTTGCTTCCATTAGAAGCATCTCTTGATGAATGAGGCCATGAAAGCTCATTTTTATCACATTGTTTATAAAATTCTTTCTGATCATACAGGTGGTTTCTGGCTTTGTTCATATCATCAGTTCAACAGCAGCTCTAGTTAAAGCTAACTTCACTGCTAAAAGGCTTCTGAACCAAACTCAAGAAGGTCTCCCACAACTTTTTGTTTTTACATTTTAATTCAACTTTAAATTTGAATCCATTATTCGTTGGGGACATTTTTGCACCTACATCCCTTTAAAGCATTGAGACTAGGCTGAGTTGATGAAAGGATAAAAACAAAAATCCTGGTTTTGTCTTTGTCATGATTTTATCAAGAGCTCGGACCCACATGCAGAAAATCAATTCAGAGAGACCAGGGGAAAGTTTAACAAGTTTATTGACAGGATTGTGATGAATCCAGTGTAGCTCTGAACACTGCTCAACCGGAACTGGAAAGTCAGGGGGAAGACACTGCGGTTAGTTCAGGCTCAGTGGGAAATTTAATTCACAACTTGAAGAGGAGAACTAGATTGCAGACTCACGTTTCCAGAAAATGGTTGACTCTTTGACTCCAGTCGGTGTTGGGGTGTTCCAGTGTTAGTCCGATTCGATGGAGGGCGGACAGGGTTTACCCAGAATGCGGTTGTTTGTAGGTGAACGGAGAGGCTAACTGCTACTTAGATTTCCTGCTGTACTTGAACGGACTGTGGTGCAGATGAATCCCCAGAGAAACGCAGCAGACATTCCTTGGGGGAAATGGGTTGATCAGAATCACACTCTTGAATCCTCAGCTCAGCTTGATTCTCAGAAGATCCTTCCAGGGGAGAGAAGGTCCGAAAAATCCAGTAGCAAGATGACTTCCTGCCGAGAGGCAAAGACAAAACGACGAGGTTAAAACTCAGGTAGACTTTGGACTTAGAGACTTAGACTTAGACTTAGACTTGACTTTATTAATCCCTTGGGATTAATCCCTTCGGGAAATTGTATTTCCAGTAGCAGGAAAAATTGCACATACAAGAAAATAGAGGATGTTTAGACACAGTATATACAATAGAAAAATAAAATCAATTAAATAAGGTGTAGGAAGATGTATTGGGGGATGAGGATAGACAAATAAATACAGAGGGCTATAGCAAAACAATAACTTAAATTAACAGTTATGTAGTGTATTGCACTTGAATGGTTGAGATAAAAAGAGTGTCCAGATTATAAAAACCAAAGCGAGTATCTACAACTCCTTCACTTCTGTCCTCTTAACTCTATTTCCTACTCCCCCCCAGAGAGGAGTTATAGAGCCTGATGGCATGAGGGACAAAGGAGTTCCTGAGTCTGTTGGTCCTACATTTGGGAAGGAGCAGCCTCCCACTGAACAGGCTCCTCTGGTTGCTGATGACGGTGTGCAGGGGATGACTGACATTGTCAATAATGTCCAGCAGTTTGTCCAGTGTCCTCCTCTCTGCTACCGTCACCAGTGAGTCCAGTTTCATGCCGACCAGACTTTGGCTAGAGTACCCAAAACTGGCAAACATTCTGGCGTCGAGGTAGTGGCAGTCTTAAGGCACTCCGTTACCGAGGTAACCATCTGCAGGTGTGTAAGGAGGCCAACCAGTACCAGGCGCCACCAGGTGGTGGAGGGATGACAAACACACAAAACACACAGACTGGAGTCCTAACAGTTTTGGTTTCTCTAAGAATCCTCTTCTAAAATTTTTTGCAATAAAAATGCCCGAAAATCACATTTTCTCAGCATATTTGTGTCATAAAAATTAAAAGATTTTTTTTCTCTTCTCAGAAACCATCAAAGTTCAAAGAATGAAGATTGCAGTTATTGGTCAGAGTCTGTTCGGCCAGGAGGTCTACAAGGAGCTGAGAAAGGACGGCCACACCATTGTTGGTGTTTTCACCATTCCTGATAAGGATGGCAAGGCCGACCCACTGGGTAAGAACCTCGCTTTCCATGCCAAGCTATGCCTTCCTAAAGGGAGGCAGCTTTGGCTTCATCTGGGGTCAGTCTGAGATGACTGAGATGGTCGCAGAGCTTCACCTCTGGTGCATGCATGTCAGGCTGCAAATTGAATAAAAAGTGATTTATTGTTGGATTGTTAGGATTATCAGGTTTGACAGAAACCAACACCCTGCTCAAATTTTTATCTAAGTCAATTTTTCTTGTGTTAAGAGCATTTGTTCTTGAATTGAGGAGGTAAGTGAGACAGTTTGCCAATGGAACAAGAGAATTTATATTTAAAATAAAACATGTTTTGTCTTATTTCAAGTGCATATTATCTAATTATCTTATTTTAACAGTAAAAATGCTCATTCCATTGGCAGATCATCTATTTGCCTGCTCAAATTAATGGTAAATACACTTATTTCTACTCATTTTTAGATTATTTTTGCAGTGTATCAGACGATCTACAATGTATAGAAACTAAATTGTTGTAAATAACGCTCTATATTGAGTCGATTTCAATGCTTTGATACTATTTTTCCAAAAATTTAACGAAGAACTTGGAGGTTACCTGATATAGATCTCATAGATCCAGATGCTAAAGCTCAGAGTGATGAAGATTTCCGTAATAATTTTATTTATTAGTATTTTACTGTCAGCCGCTTTAGAAGAAGAGTTCCTGGTTCTGTGGCGAGATAGCACTAGAAAAAATTCAAATAAGTCCTTTTTCTTAAAATAAGTGAATTTGTTCTTGAATTGAGGAGATGAGACACTTTTCCAATTCAACAACAAAATTTAGATTTTGAATAAGAAAAAAACAATTGTCTTATTTCAAGTGCATTCTATCTAATTATCGTATTTCAAGAGTAAGAATCTAATTCCATTGTCAGAACATCTTATTCACCTGCTCAGATTAATGGTAAATACACTTAATTTAAGAAATGTTGACTTATTTCTAGATGTGTTTTTCAGTGGAGAACCGTCAGATGAAATCTGTTTGAGGCTCCATCATGGACAGCCTGTTCAACCTGCCTGGTAAACGGCGGGGAGGGAGGACACCTGAACCGAACCTGTCTTCATCCTGTGACTCCTATGTCTTTTGTCCTGCAGCTACAGAGGCGGAGAAGGATGGTGTCCCTGTTTTTAAGTTCCCCCGGTGGCGATTGAAAGGTCAGGCCATCAAAGAGGTGGTGGACCAGTACAAGTCTAGAGGGGCAGAACTCAACGTCCTCCCCTTCTGCTCCCAGTTTATCCCCATGGAGGTCATTGACCACCCCAAACATGGCTCCATCATCTACCACCCCTCTCTGCTGCCCCGTCACCGGGGAGCCTCTGCAATCAACTGGTCAGAGATGCTTCTTCAACTTGGGTTTAGAATCCAAATCCTGGCAGCATCCTAACCCGGGTTTAACTGTTCTCCACAGGACGCTTATCCATGGAGACAAGAAGGGTGGATTCACGGTGTTCTGGGCTGATGACGGACTCGATACGGGACCAATCCTGCTGCAGAGAGAGTGTGATGTTGAACCTAACGACACAGTCAACACAATCTACAAGAGATTTCTCTTTCCGGAAGGTGTCAAAGGCATGGTGAGGGGCCGAGGTTAGGTTGGCGACTGTATGAAAGAACCACAGAGAGCGTCTGAGCATCTTAATACCAATGAAAATGTCTTACCTTAAGAATATTGAGGAACAACCCTACATTTTCATGCCTGGACAATTAGGCAAGTGTTTCTGCAGAGTCTAGAAAAGGTTGGGTCAATCAGAGGAATCCCAGGAATATTTCTGAAACACCATGACCTCAAGGTTTAGACTGAAATGATGGATGAAAAGGCAGAAAGAGGAGTCTGGTTTGATCCCATGTTATCATTAACTATATATTCCAAAAACGTTAGAAGCAATCCACTGATCTGTTTGCAAGTTTGAAGACGTTTCTCTTCCCATCCAGGAAGCTTTTTCAATTGAAACTGTCAGAAATATCGTTGAGTCCCAGCCTTTATACTCTCCTCGGAATAATTCAGTTGAATTGGCTAAAGAGGAGAGGTTGCTGGTTATTGGACATTAGCTAAAGAGGAAAGGTTGCTGGCCTTTGGACATTAGCTAAACAGGAAAGGTTGCTGGCCTTTGGGCATTAGCTAAAGAGGAGCGGCAGCTAAGGCAGGTGATCTGAAGAAGTTTCCATTTTAGAAATCATTATTTGTGATTCTAACACAGGTCTAGAAAATCATCCTTTTCTGTAAATTCAGATTCACCTTCTGATTTTGAAGCTGTTGCTGATGTCATGTTCACGCTTTAGAGAAAATTCCTTGAAGCTCCCTGTTTGCTTCTGCTGTGGTTCCAGGTAGAAGCTGTGAGGCTGATCACTGAAGGAAAGGCCCCAAAGATCACACAGCCTCAGGAGGGAGCCACCTATGAGTGCATTCAGAAGAAAGACAACGCCAAGGTAAAGGTTTCATCTTGTACTGAAAGCTTTGGAAAAGGTTTTAGCTCCAACTCTGACCTCCCCTCACCACGACTTCAGATTTCATAATAACCTGTCTGTGATGTAACCAGAAGGGTGTAAGCTGTAGATCAGGGGATGCATGTAGTATTAGCCTTCAAAAAGAGGCCCTGAGCCACAACACATTCACCCTCATTCGCCCCCTAGTGGTGGGTCTTATCTGAAGAATGCATTGCATTATCAACAGGCAAATCACATGCGTCTGTGTTTAATCTGAGTCTATGATGAGGATGGGGATGTTTGACGGGCGGCTTTCTGTGCCGGTAGATCGACTGGAACCAGTCAGCTGAGGCCATCCACAACTGGATCAGAGGGAATGACAAGGTGCCTGGGGCCTGGGCAGAGGTGGACGGACAGGTAACCTCAGAAGCGCAAAGGTTCAGTCATTCCTACACCTGGCTAAAAAATATTGTCTGTTCCACCTAATGAATGGATTACATCAGCAAACCCAGCTGGATGCATGTGTTCATAGAGGAGAAAATCTTCAGGAAGAATCAGTTTTCAGTGAACAGCGCCGCTGTACATCACAATCTCTCCCTCTGCAGAAAGTGACCTTCTTCGGCTCGTCTCTGGTGGATAACGGCACAGCAGCCAACGGCGCGCCCCTGGAGATTCCTGGAGCCAGTCGGCCTGGCGTCGTCACTAAGGCTGGGCTGGTGCTGTTCGGAAACGACGGCAAGACGGTGAGTCGGACTGGTGAACGCACTGCTACACATGGATCAGTAGAAGGTCTTAACTGGATCATGACCTCTGAGAAAAGATACTATGGCAAGAAAAGCGTCCTTCAGAGGAAGACTGGTTGATGCCATCAGGCAGCTGCAGAAGATAACGGGTTGTTATGGAAAGTTCTGTGTTTCCACTTTGCTGTCTTCTCTTTCTGCGGTTCTTTTCCTGAGAAGAGATCACTCTGAACAAATTCTTTAAATAACACTTCATAATGTTTATGTATTAAATAACCAGGAGACATTACAACAGATTTCAACAGAACTTATAATCTTACTCAGATCAGAGAAGTTGCTTAGAGTTACAGAAGGCAGCTGCTTATCAACTGGACTAACATCTCATGAAGTTGCCCCGAATTCCAGTCAGAGAAGCATTTTATACTCCAGTCTGCCACTCATCCCATCATCACATCATTACAGCATAGACATTTGCAGATGAGGAGACATTCATGGCTCCAGCTTCATCAAAATATTATGGAGGCTAATGGTAGATTCTCCTCAGGACAAAAATCAAGACACTCAATGGTTATCTTAAAGGTATTGGGCACATGCACAACCATGTACCCGCTCCAGAGAGGGAACACCTATCAAACGCCTGCGGGAGCGTGAACAAGCCCATTTCACCTTCTGCACGCTCTGTTTAAACCCCTAAATCCCTCCATCTCTATATAGAGTGGGGACTTTATAATGAACTCAGTTAACTGACCGTTCAGACAGATGATCACTGCTTATTGCTCACCTATGTTAATAGTCGTTGCTGTCGGGTAGCAACAGCCTATGGCGACAGCAGGCCGCTGTGACAGTAAATCCCATAATACTTTGTGAGGAGAGCTCTCTGCGCAAAGCATTCTGGGATGTATCTGCCTCTTCTGAGGCCTTTCTTTTCTTCTGATACACTTCGTAGACACTTTTTCCCTTACGACCCTCCGCCATTTTCAAAGAACTGCCGTGAGAAAGGTGAGTTTCAGAGACTGTCTGAAACCGTAGCTCACCACAGATATACGCCTGAAAGTGCGCAAAAAAAGACAGCTAACGGGACGAGTACGTAGGACGGCCTTACGTAAACATATCACCAGATTGACTGACAGTTAGGAAGACCACTGATCGAGATGATCCCCCGGAAAAAGAACATCACCTGCACCTTTAATGTCCCCGCCGGACGGGGGAAAAATTGAGATTTATCGTAATGCTAATTCCAATGCTGTCCAAAAATCATAGAAGTACAGAACAGAGCTCATTCTCACCTCGCAATGCTGTTTCCCTATAACCCCCGGCTCACACGACTCCGGTCTTACCGTTGCGGTGCGGTGGGTGCGGCGCCGCAGTGATTCCAAGTCATTAAAAAGACGTAAACCTCTCTCACCGGCTGCTGAGCTGTCCGGCTGCGGTTACCGAGACACTCCGGCGCTGCAGAAAATTCAGCAAGAAAGCTATCCTTGCGGCGTGCCGGAGCCCTCCGCAACAAGCTCTCGCAAATATCCTTATTTGGGCCGTGTTATCGCGTGAAGTTACGTGAACTCAAGTGAACTTCTGTTCTCGCGAGTTAAATCTCCGGACCTGTTGCTGGAGCCGCAGAGCCGCACCGCACCGTAGTCAAAAGGGCGGTGTGAGAGGGGGTGTGCGGGAGTTGCGGTCTCCGTCGGCTCGGTAACCGCACCGGAGCCAGTGTGAGCAAGGGGTTAGACACCACACCCATCCTGGGTAAACTCATGCCATACTCTAACATGGTTGTGTATGTATATGCATATATGCGCCTATGGTGAAAGTATTTAGAGGGTGCAGGCGCTTTGTGTGTGATAGTCTCATGCACATGTAGAAGTCTGTGTGGAAATCTGTGTTGCAGATTCCTAAGAGAGGAAACGGATGTTTTTGTCAAGAGTTCTGATGAAGTTCTCAAATGAAAGTTTAAAACTTCCCAAATCACACATGTTAAGCTCTAAGTTGTGGGGCGACAGTGGCGTTGGATGTAGGAGTTTGCCCTGAAATCAAAGGATTGACGGTTCAAGCCCCGACTCCAACTTTCAGTGTCGTTGTGTCCTTGGGCAAGACACTTCACCTGCATTGTCTACTGATGGTGGTCAGAGGGCCCGGTGGCGCCCCGCTTCTGTCAGTGAGCTACAATGTAGCTTACCACCATGAGTGTGTGGGTGAATTGGTGAATGAATGTAGTGTAAAGCGCTTTGGTCAAGTCTCCTAACTTGAATAAAGGCGCTATATAAGTACATGCCGTTTAACATTTACCATCTAAGTGACCTTGAAAAAAACATCCTCCTTTTTGGCAAAGATCTACTTCCATCAAGCTGCCATTATAATGTGTGCGCCGACGTTACCTGTCTAAATATTCAGGCCACGGTTTTCTCTGCAGCTCAGTGTGTTTACATGGCCTCAAATCATTTCTCTTCCACAATTACACACTTGTTCTTAGATCAAGGACACCACTCTCATTCCCAAACCTTTGTCTAGTTCATAATAATGACTTTTTATTCTGACAGAGGAACTATCCTAATTAGATAAACTAATTGGGAAAAAGATATTATTAGCATTATTAGTATTATTAACATCAATAAGAAGAACCCTGTTCGAATGTTTGCACTTTTCATGCCGATTTTCCAGCCGTGTGAGGTTTTTTTTGATCAGGCCGTCTTTCATCCTGATGGTGCGTGGTGTAGCTGTACAGGGGGTAACAAGGGGCGATATTCTAAGTACCAGTTATATAAGAAAACACTGAAGACAGGAAAACATCAACATAAGCGTAAGAAAAGTCATTAAAGTCCCACTGAGAAAGGTTGGGGGTATTAAACACGCTCTTTCAACACTATGGGGAGTCAGGCATGGCTCTGACCAGGAGATGGCTGTTTGATGTCGTGGACCTTGGCAATATGTCTCTTCATCAGCAGCTTCTCTGTGAATAACTCGTAGCAGTGCTCGCACCTGTACGGCCGCACCTCTTTGTGCCTGGCCAGAACGTGCTTCCTCAGGGTGGAGCCGCGGTTGAAGGACTTGTCACAGATGTGGCAGCTGAAGGGCTTCTCGCCCGTGTGTGTCCTCAGGTGTTCAGTCATGTGTCCTTTCAGCTTGAAGCCCTTTCCGCAGTAAAGGCAGCTGTAGGGCCTCTCCCCGGTGTGGACCCTCATGTGGTTCTGCAGGTTGCTCTGACAGGGGATGTGCTTCCCACAGATGTGGCAGGTGAAGTTGGCCTTGCCGTCTTTGGACTTGTTTTCGTGCATCTTGAGGTGCCACGTCAACACTATCTTTTTTGTGAAGATGTAGTTGCAGATGTGGCAGCGGTACAGAGTGGTGGTGGTCTTCTCCTCCAGCTCGGGCTCCTTTGGAGAAGCCTGCTGTGGCTCGCTGCGTTCCTCTGCCGCCCTGCAGTCCTCCAACTGCTGCACAGTTTTGATCAGCTCTCTGGTCAAAGCGTCACCGTCATCACTGTCCTCCGTGGATGCCTCCTCCTTCGTGCCGTCGCCCCACAGCTCTTCCTCTTTGACCTCTGCAGGCCCTGGCTCATCCAAACTCGACTCCCGCGGCTTTGGAGGCGTTTCCTCTGTGGACGTGGTGACAGTAGGAGCCTTGGCATCTATAAAGACAAAGACATTTTACAGTGAACAGTGGGGCTGAACATCTTCCTGCCTCGTAGGAAGATGTACGCACTGAGGGTTGAATGAATCCTTCAAATGTTTTCTCAGCTCCTAGTTTTGATGCCCAGCTCACTGAATGGAAGGAGAAGCTGCAGAAATACCACCGAAGAAGGGTCGGCAAGTGCATTTGCAGCAGTTTTGGAAAGATTGGCTTAATGTCAAGGAAAGACACTTGTGATGAGATGATATCATGCAAAGGAAGGCTGACAGGATTGGAAACTACTGGACTCGTCTTTGACCCGCTGCACCGGTGCAGTGCGTAGGTCGGTTCCCCCGAGGTAATATGTTCCCCTCCATGGATAGCACATCTTTGGAAGCGCGAGCAGAGCATCTCATTCACATCATTTGCTAACAGATCCAGAGAAAATCTCTTTAATCCAGAGCTGTCAGACTTGGGGGAATCTGAGATGTTTTTTTGACCAAACCTGATAAATTGACTTTTTCCAAGGACACTGCCACCTGTGGCCAAACCACAGCATTGCAGCTCTCTTCTGCTCGTTCTCGGTACTTAACAAGGTTGTTTTTGTTTTACTTTTTTAACCTTAACTGGAGTTACGATTAGTGTCTGAGTTTAGCTGGCGGTTGCTTCAGAGTTTCCACCAAATTCATGTTGAATAGAAAGCTTTGATTGTTTGCTAGGTCAGGCCCATTCAACATGGATGCTCTGGACGTCACATTCGCACAGCACATGCTATTTATTTCTAGAGTATGCAGGTTAGAGAGTGACTGTAAAAGAAAGACGAGGTCCAGGCCATGGAGGTGGAGGTAATACCCATAATTAGGGCTGCAAATTGTTCTATGTATTACATATTAGATTGATTAGTCTGTTGATTATTTTTTCAATTAACCAATTAATAATCTGATAGCCAAAGGTTCCTTAAAGAAACCTCTTTATGAAAGTAAAATTTAAAGGTTTCCACTTCAGTAGTTCTAGATAGATCAGATTGACAGATAAAAACGTTTTTTTTTTTTTTTAATCTAAAATGCAAAATGTTTATATATTTCTTAACAATCTTGGTATAAATCCTGCTCTAAGTGGGTCACTCTGTCAGCTAAAAACATGTTTTACAGGCTCTGTACTCCAGTTAACAATTAATTGATGACTGAATTAGTTGACAATTATTTTAGTAATCGATTATTCCCATGAAATGCTCCAGCCCTACCCATGATTATATTCTATATTTAATACTGTTTTAATTCTATATATTGATTGTCTGCTGTCCCAGTGCATTAATCTATTGTTATTTCTGCTGATCCAGACATGTTAAATGTTCCCAGAATGCCTCTCCATCCTCTGTCATTGATTCAATGTGTCCTTTGGAGCAACAATGACTTCAGATAAACGTATCAGTTTGCACCTAACTGTCAGAAGTACTAAAATAAGATGCTAAAACTGCAGCAGTTGAATTTCAGGTGTGGAAAATCTCCTTGCAGCTGGTAAATGTTAGCATATCCTCCATGTATGAATTTGTGCGGTTTGGTCGTTAGAATATGATTGGAATATAAATGAAGGCAAACAGAAAAAAAAATGTTTTGCACCCGCTGTTTGCTGAATTGAAATTGCTGCTCCTGTCCTGCCGTAAAACATGTCTGCTGCTGTTTGGGGACACGCAGACTATCTGAAGATAAGGCCCTGTGTGTCAGCGGCTGGGATAGGTCAGCAGGTATGAGGAGACGTCTCAGAACAGAGAGTTTTATTTGGGTCCTCTGTTTATCCCCACAAGGGGTCGCTGTTGTTCTTTTAGTCGTTAAAGTCAGATCCAGGATCTGAGAATTAATTAACGCTGGAGTGGAGTTAAACTACCCGGTCTGGCTCTAACTGCTAGTTTTACTGTGTTGAACACAGACTAAAGGGCTTTAGAAATATTTTAATAGTAGCTATTTTGTTCCAAAAAGTTTAAAAAAACAATCCACTGGACTTAGGTTCCAAGTTTGAAGACATTTCTCTTCCCATCCAGGAAGCTTATTCTATTCAAAATGTCAGAATTAACATTGAGTTCCAGGCTTTATAGAGTAGCTCAGAAACTTGTTTAGGTTTAAAAAACATGCTAATTGAACCAGAAGAACGGTTCCGCCCCCTTTAGGAATGTGGAGTTGTTCTGGATGTTTGTTAGCCTGCAAAACCCGATTCTGGTCTATGCCTCTGAAAGGGGGGGTTGTTGGCCAGGCTGCGATATATTAACAGAATAACTGTAGTTTGGTTTGATAGACAGATATATCCCCTCCCCCACTGGACCAAGCTTCAGACACAATTAGCTTTAGCCCCGCCCATGGAGTGGCGCCACCTGGTGACCTCATTACGCCCCAGTTCCTCTTGATTTGAAAGCGACTCGGTTCAGCTTCTCCTGATGTTTGTTTACTCTTTTTTTGTGTGTGAAAAAAAACATCCAACCTTTCCTAACTTTTCTCAATCCAAACTGAGTATAAGTCTGTATGATTTCACATCGGTTCAATATTCAAAGCTTCGGAAATGAAACGGTGGTCTGTGGAATAGTACGGAGTTTGATGGTTCAGTTGTTGGTCTGCCTGCTGATCACCTGCCATGAAATTAATAAATCTACTATGAAATGTTTAAATTTCTCTTGATATTGTAAAAAAAAAGATACTTCACTTATTTTATATGAAATTAAATATTTACTGGGATATATTTTTATATGATTATAAAGCATTTATATTTTTTAAATGTCACTTTTGTCATTTCAAGGTACATAAAATTAAACATTTAATGATAAATCAGTTATTTAATGTATTGCATTGTAAATTGATTCATTTCGTGGTTTATTTATTATGGTTAAGATTCCATATGAGACAGTTAGTCGGGTACCAGATCCAGATCCAGAACTAGAACTAGAACCAGAACCAGAACCAGAACTAAAACCAGAACCAGAGTATAAACGCGCTGCTGTGTGACGCATGGAGCGGATTGTGGTGATAGATGCCAGGCAGAAAGCAGACTCATACCCGCCCTGAGGAGCCTGATCTCCGGCTTGTAGACCAGATCCAGCAGCCGCTGCAGCCTCTGGTTCTCCAGCTGGGTTCGGTAGACCTCCTCCTGGTACTGAACCACCGTCTTTTCAACGAAACCATAGATTTCCACGGCAGCAGCGGTCAGCCTGTCCGTGAGGAAGGCGTTAAAAGAATTCAGCGTTTCAGCAGCAGCCATGATCCTCCTCTGACGCTCTGCCGCCCCCTGCTGCTCAAAGCTGCAACAGCAGCAGCAGAGGAACAAACGTTCAGCAGTTTCCCTTCTTCTGTAGCAGTTTACCTTCTTCTGCATCAGTTTCCCTTCTTCTGCATCAGTTTACCTTCTTCTGCATCAGTTTCCCTTCTTCTGCATCAGTTTCCCTTCTTCTGCATCAGTTTCCCTTCTTCTGCATCAGTTTACCTTCTTTTGCATCAGTTTACCTTCTTCTGCATCAGTTTCCCTTCTTTTGCATCAGTTTCCCTTCTTCTGCAGCAGTTTCCCTTCTTCTGCAGCAGTTTACCTTCTTCTGCAGCAGTTTCCCTTCTTCTGCTGATGGTCTTGTGAATATTTCGATGTTGACTCCCTGCTTTAAGATTATTTGGTTCCCAAAGAAGAATGAGAATAATTCAGATCTGATCTTGATCTGTAATTTTAACATGTTGTCAAAAAGGAAACAAACTTATTTTTAAACAATCAACTGGATATTGACACCGTTAGAGACCGTGCCAGGGTGGCTAGCCATGCTGACCTCCACCAACTTCTCAGCATATCAGCTTGGAAAGGAGCTCAGAGCCCCATTTCAAAGATGGGAATAAAAGTTTAGAATCAAGCAGGTACCGCAGCAGCCATTCAAAGTGGTTGTTCCCAATCAAACGCCAGCCGAATGGCAGCCCACTTCCCTGGAAATCCCAGCAGAACTCCCTCCAACTTCCAGCCACTGGAGTGATGCCCTCCTTCTCCTGGGCGTGCAAATTTCCCTAAATTACAGGGTCTGATCAGGACATGATGCTTCTCTTTTGATCTTAATGTCCACAAATCATGAGAAAAAGAATATTTAGGTAAAAAGATTGATGTTTAAAAAGGAATTGTAGGGGACCAACCAAGGACCAGCCAAAGGGCCAGCCAAGGACCAAACAAGGACCAACCAAGGACCAAACAAGGAACAGCCAAGGGACAACCAAGGAACAGCCAAGAACCAGCCAAGGGCCAACCGAGGACCAGCCATGGACCAGCCAAGGGCCAGTCAAGAACTAGCCAAGTGCCAGCCAAGAACTAGCCAAGAACCAGCCAAGAACCAGCCAAGGGCCAGCCAAGAACCAGCCAAGAACTAGCCAAGAACCAGCCAAGAACCAGCCAAGAACCAGCCAAGGGCCAGCCAAGGACCAGCCAAGGACCAGCCAAGGGCCAGCCAAGGGCAAGCTAAGGACCAGAGAAATAAAGTGGGGACATTTTGAATGGCTACTACTGTAACTACGGATGTGATGTAAAAACTTAAGCAAAAGAAAAGCTATTGAGTTTTTTTAAGCTATTGAGTTCTAACAACATTAACAGCCTTCAGAGGATAATAAAGGGCATCAATAAAGCATGGCTCTAATGCAGCTGCAGCCTGAACTGCTCTCTCCCAGAAAACACTGTTGCATTATGGGCAACAGGATTGTGCACCTGGAAGCAGAGACATGTGACTCCATGAAAGTCACACGACCTTGCAGGTAATTCAAGGAAACGGTTCATTCAAACATCTAGCCTTGAATTTTCCAAACTAAAGGGTTTGAAAAGCTGAACTGAAGTTGACCCAGAGCTGTGGATTGAATATTTCCTGAAGAACGGCTGGAACAACATGATAACTGGGACTGATGAGCTTTTCTCTGTTCTTTTTCTCGTTGTTCTCTGCAGCTGCTGGTGAAGAACCTGCAGTTTGAGGACGGGAAGATGATCCCTGCGGCGCAGTACTTCCGCTCCGGCAGCAGTGCAGCAGTTGAGCTCACTGAGGAGGAGAAAAGCTTCGCCGAGCAGATGAGGGTAAGGTTAGGAACATGAAGCTTATGGACGGCTAAAGCTGACGGCTGCTACTGAGGCCGCCAGATACCTGCTGTCATTCCTTCTAGTTGTTGGAATGTGAACTAATGACCAGGGGAGCACTGTGATGATGCTGATGTGTCTAAATCTGAGATAGAAATACAAAAATAAAATAAAACAGGCTTATTCATCTCTCATACAACCGATATGTAAAAATGGACAATATCTGATCCAATATCTGAAAGTTATTAATCAGTTATCAGAGTTAATCATTTATTTCTGATTGTGGATTTGAGGTGTTACTTTTACTTATCAGTTAAGGAATGGTCATATTTAAATCACTATTTTACATTTCAGTGGAATTATAAAATATCAATTAGATGCATTCAGTTCGACTCACATTTTACAATCTCTATACTCCAATTAACAATTAATCAATTTCTAAATTAGTTAACGATTATATCAATAATAAATGAATCCGATTGTTTCAACCCTATAAACATTTTAGATTTCAAATAGACAAAAAATGTATAATTAATTAATTCTATGGTATATTTATGTGTTTGATGATATATTTAGCCCTCTGTACCAAGGGATCACATAACAAAGATGATGAAAAACTAAAAGAGAGAATCAACAGATGTCTGCAGGGCCGGGACTCGAACCTGCGACAACTGGAATCTGGGTCACAAGCTCTACCTCAACATGCTCAAGGGAAAGGGCAGCAAAGTGTTTTGACAGCATCCTGCTGAACTCGTTATTAATGAAATATAATGATTATTTAAAACATTTTATTAGTTTCCAAAGTTAGCATTAGCCTAGCAGGTCAGTGAAATGATCCGACTTTCCCCAGTTAGGTCAATTTGAAACACTAAGATACAGAAAAAAGAAAATAATCCAATTCTTGTTCACAAACAGTTTTCCTATAATTTCAACCTTGACTGAAAATGTAGTTTTATTCCTCAGATGTCTAGTGTCTCTAATTAGCATCATACCTACATTTTAAACTGATCATAGGAACATCTCTTTAATTTAGTTTGCTGCTAAATATTTGTATTTATCAAAATAAAATAATGTTATTTAACTCAGCCTCTTTACATTTAGGGCTTTTATTTAACAAAATCAAAATCTTAAATATAAATATAAATATATATATATATATATATATATATATATATATATATATATATATATATATATACATATAAATAATATGTAATATCTTTCACATATAGATTAAGATCTTTAAATATAAATAAATGTGAGAATAAGTTAAGAATATATGACTATAACGAGATTTATCATTATATTTACCAACCAATCTTTGAAAAAAAAAAAAGAAGCTCTAAATGTGAAGAAAAACAGAAATTTAAACATTAGTTTTGCCAGATGTTTCCTTTGGCGCTCTTTATATTTGACTTCAGTTTGATTGCAGAAACGTAAATGATGCAGTTTTTGTAGAAGTTGTATAAAAATGTTTTCTTCCCCATCAGGCCGTGTGGAAGAGTATCCTGACCAACGTGAGTCAGGTTGAAGACTCCACGGATTTCTTCAAATCTGGAGCTGCTTCGATGGACGTGGTCAGGTGAGAAAAATTCCCCTCAAACTGTCTGACGCACCGAAAACAACCAGGAGTTAAACGTTAAAATAAAAGTTTAACGGAATGGGATGTAATAATTCAATAAGATGTTGAGTTATTACATTTAATTTTAATGGCATATTTAATATTTAATGAATAAATAATTCCATGGTTTAATTATGTTTTTATATTTCATATACCGGGTCCCCATCTGTTGTGTCCCGGCCCCCCACAGGGTCCTGACCCCGCTTTGGGTAGCCCGGTTTTAAAGCATGAGGTTAAAGTCGAAGTAGAGACTGTCTTCTTGGCATCTCCTGTCCTCATCCTCATCTTCTCCAACCTTCAGGCTGGTGGAGGAAGTCAAGCTCCGCGCCAGCAGCTGCCAGCTGCAGAACGAGGACGTCTACATGAACACCACCTTCCAGGATTTCATCCAGATGTGTGTCAGGAAGCTGCGTGGCGAGGATGAGGAGGAGGAGCTGGTGGTGGACTATGTAGGTACCTGCTGAGCCACGGGGAACCAATGCTGACGGACTTCTAATCGTCCTTTTCCTTCTTAGGTGGAAAAGAATATCAACAACATGACTGTGAAGATCCCCCATCAGCTGTTCATCAACGGAGAGTTTGTTGATGCTGAGGGAGGGAAGACCTACAAGAGCATCAACCCCACCGACGGCACGGTGAGACCAACACGGCGACTTTAGGAGCGATTCTAAACGATGGAGTGCGCTCCTCCGCTTCGGCCCGCTCTGTGTTTGAAACTGCAGCTTCCTGTGTCTGCAGGCCATCTGCGAGGTGTCTCTGGCCCAAACCAGTGATGTGGACAAGGCAGTGGCTGCTGCTAAGGAGGCGTTTGAAGACGGCGAATGGGGCAAGATGAACCCAAGGGACAGAGGCAGGCTGATCTACAGGTGGGTGGCATCATGGTGTCTAAATGCCCCAATTCCACGACCCTCCGAAACCGATCCGTGCCGAGTTCAGACCGAGCTTGGGTCAGTTAACCGTGCCGAGCTTGGTTCTTACTACTATTTACACATCACGCTAGCACGGTTATTCGCCTCCTATCGGCAGACCACCATGCTACACCTCTCAAGGCGGGAATTACGCAAACAAAAATGGCGGCAGCCAGAACATTCAGGAACTTATAGGCCTGGATAATATCCTCCGCCCAAATGTCAATGAGAGCCTCGGTCTCGGCATCATCCCAGGGCGCACCGCACTCTTTTGATGCCATTTATTGTTAATAAACTGAGAAGACGTTCATGTTGTGAACATTTGAAGAGATCTGTGGATTACAAAGCTAGATGCGCTGAAAAGCTGCAAAATGAGTCAGCTGACTGAGGCGGTCTGCTTAAAGTAGTTCATCTCATGCTGGGAAAACA